ACACCTAAGTCCTTTCCTGGTCCTGCCTTGCCTAGCTCTACTCTCCAGCCTTGTGTCTATTCATAACAGTAAGGGGGTTGGAGTAGTTGTCTTTGATCTTGCTAGTTGACATTCTTGGCATGACTGGATGGTTTGTGCTATGTCCCTTTTCATCTTTGGCCACCACACATTTTGTTTCATTATGTCATATGTACCTTGTGTTCCCAAGTGACCAAATCCCTTATGGAGCTTTTGTAGGGTATCTGCTTGGCATGCATGTGAGACAAAGGGTACAGGTCCCAAGTTGGGTATGCGTCAATAAAGTACTTCATCTTCTCCAAAGGTAAAGTGGTTTGCTGCTTGTTGTATTTTTTCCCTGATTTCTGTAGAGGCCTCTAGGGGAATGTTGCCTATGGATAAGTACTCTGGTAAGTACTTAGGCCAGTCTTTATCAAGTTCAATCAAAAACAGATCTTGGAGTCCAGGGTTTTGTGAAATTGCATCCGCAGCCAGGTTGTTTTTCCTGGTATATAATGGATCTGGAAGTCATATATCTGTAACAGTGCAGTCCAGTGTGCCATTTGTTGTGATAGCTGTTTCTGTGTGGTAAGGTACTTTAGCAAGTTGTGGTCTGTAAATATCTTGAACTGTTGTCCCTCTAAGTAGGGTTGCCACTTCTTGACACAATGTATGATTGCCAGTAGTTCCCGCTCATGTACAGGAAAGTTACTTCCTGCTTGCAAGAGTTTCTTTGATTTGTATGCAATGGGGTGTTTGTTTGGCTTGGTGTCTTCTTGTACTAGTATTCCTCCAACCGCAAAGTCAGATGCATTAGTGTACACCTTGAATGGCTTTGCAAAGTTGGGGTACATCAGGATAGGTGTCTTGAATAGTGCATCTTTCAACTGTTGGAAAGCCGTATTACACAATGATGTCCATTCAAACAGTTGTCCTTTCTGCGTGAGGTTAGTCAGGGGTAAGGCTTTCTCTGCAAAGTCTTTGACAAACCATTGGTAGTAGGATGCTAGTCCAAGAAAGGATTGCACCTTGGTGATGGATCCAGGTTGTTTCCATTCATGGATTGCTTGCATTTTCTGTGGGTCCACTTCAATCCCCTTTGCTGACACTATATGTACAAGGTACTCAATGGATGGCATCAGGAACATGCATTTTGCTCTTGATGCAAATAGTTGATGTTTTTGTAGTATGGTGAACACTATGCATAGGTGGTTGAGATGTTTATCTGTTTTCTTACTGAATACTAATATGTTGTCTAGGTACACAACAACAAACTTGCCCAAGGTGTTCTACAAATATAGAGTTCATCAACAATTGGAAGGTTGCCAGAGCATTGGTTAGACCAATACTCATAACAACAAATTTGTAATGGCCAAAAGGTGTGTTGAATGTGGTTTTTGGTATATCACCCCTTTTGACTTGTATTTGGTGGTAACCTAACTGTAGGTCTATTATTGAGAATACTTGTGCTCCATACAAGAGGTCAAGCACCACATTAATATGGGTAACGGATATGCATTTTGCACTGTTGTGGCATTCAAAGTGTGATAACCAATACAGAGTTGAAGTGTTGTGGTAGGGTAAACATACCTCCCACAGACAAGTTTATTCATATAGCCATTATGATGTAATTATCCATATTTTATCTTATCAGTATTATCCCATTCTTCTTTTGCCCATATTATCAGTATTATCCCCATATGATGTTTACCCTGATTAGTTATTAGCATTAGTTATCCCAGATGTTATTCAGCCTTGTGATCAGTGTATGTATCTACATAAGGCAAGTACCCACGTCAGTACCCATGACACATGACTTAGGTCTGTGTTACTATCCCTACCATTTCAATACCATATATGGTATTTCTATGTGGCACAGGTTTCAGACTACTGATTCCTGATTGGTTGGATGTGCTGTGCCTTTTAGAACCTTCCAGGACATTCTTAGCATATTTTTGGCTCATAGTGATGTCATCAAGAATTCCACTGATACCTAGAATCTTCTAGAACCTTGTCATTAGTAATCACTTGGCAATCAGGAAAAGTATTTAAGGGAAAGCAATCCCTCATTAATAAATCATCCCTTCTATCAGTAACACTTCTACCTTATTGATTAGCAGTTGATCACTGCACCTGCCTTCAACAGTACATCTCAGACCTGCCATCAAGGAGCTTTTTGGGGTAGCACACAAGACACACAGAGGCCTTTGGAGACACTTGGAGCACCCAGGAAGCTAGAGAAGCAGGAGCTTTTACCATAGTGATATATTCACAAAGACACAAGCAGTTTAGACACAGAGGTTATTGCACCCATCAGACACCTCACACACCTTGAGTTGTGTAGCTTCTCCCAGGAGTACCTCTACATCACCACAGTGTGGCAATTTTCTTCATTGTAAATAAGACAGGTGCACCCCTTGGTACTTGCTAGGGTGGATCCACCCTTTACGCAAGTATACTTCTAAATACTCATGTAACACCTCCATTTCTTTAGGGTTCAACCAATATGGGGCCCAACTGACAGGTCTACTCTGTATTAACTCAATCTCATGGTATACCTCACGTTCTGGTGGTAAGTGTGGGATTTCCTCAGGGAACACATTGGAAAATTCTTCAACCAGGCATTGTACTTGGGGATTAATGGGTTGTTCACTCTTCCCATGAGTAACATACACCAGGAAAGATGTTCTCTCATTATCCTCCTTATTAACCTTGGTAAATTGCTACTTTGATAGTGGCTTCTTCTCATTGGCTAGTTGCCTTTGAAGGTTAGCTTGTGGTCTCAAGGTAACCCAGCTGTTGCCTTCCTGGATTGTAACCTCTTGTGTTCTCCAATCTGTTGGGGGGTTAAACCTCACATGCCAACTTTGCCCTAGAATTATATCAAAGTTTGCATTTGGTATTACTGCAGGGGTTATGGTACTGGCATGAGTGCCTAGTGTTGACATGCTTGGTTTGGTTCTGTGGTTCACTTGTTTGGGGTGTTGTGCTGCAAAGCAAATCAATGTGGGGTTGCAGTGTTGCTTTGGGGGTTGTAGTTGGTTAACTAACTCCTTGGATATATATGTGTCCACTGCTCCACTATCCAAGAGTATGTCAACAGATATGTCATTCACAGTTCCTTCCAATACTAATAACTTTGGATGGATCTGTAGGCTAGTAGCATCAACCACATTAATTAGCTGGTATACCTTATGATTGACTGTCTGAATGGACTGCAATGTGTTCCTTGTTTGTGGTTGTACAGGATAATCTTGTAATAGGTGACCATGTTTCTTACAGTAAAAACATAGTCCCATTTTCATACATTCTTTGTTAGATATTGTGCCCTGTTTGTGACAATATCATGTCAAGGTCCATAGGGTCTAGGTTGGGTGTGCAGAATTGTGTTGCATTGGTGGGTTTCTTTATCCCTGCTCCGGTGTTTCTATTGGTAGTCCAATGTACTGGAGTGTAATGCCAACCAAATGGATAGAGTCATATTGTTTGGCTATGGCCATGGCTTTGGACAAAGAGGTAGGGTCACCGTATTTAATTTCCAAGCATGTCTGGTAACATAGGCCTTGGAGGTAGTGTTCCATCTGTTCAGTGTCAGGCATATTGGGGATTTCAAGCATCAATGTATTGAATTGTTGGTTGTAGTCCTGAACAGTCTTTGTCTGGTTCAACTTATACAGCTTATCTCTTGCATTTTGTACTGCATTGACTGGGATAAACTGCTTTTGGAGGGCTGCCACAAAAATATCCCAGGTGTTTATACTGGGGAATAAGTTCTGTGCTATACCCTGTTTATAAAGTTTCCACCAGAGTGTAGCTTCTTTTTGGAAAAAGGTGGCAGCAAACTTGAACTTTATAATGTCTGGGTCAGCAGAAAATGTCAGGTATTGTTCCATCTCAAAGATCCAGGTTTCTAAAGTCATGGCATGTTTCTTCTCTTCAAAGATATTAGGCTTTGCTAGCTTCAAGGTATTTCCAAGGGTATTTTGTGTTGTTGTCTGTTGAGGGCTCATAGTCAACTGTGTTAACTGTCTTTCAATCTGTGCAATATAGTCATCCATATCTTCTACACTATCAAATTTTGGGCAAGACATTTTGCTTTTTAGTACTTCTGCATCAAGGGATCAAGGGTCACAGGTCAGGATTTGTGGGTGTCTTTCAAGAAGTACATTTTTTGCTGCTACCAATGTTGTAATCTTGGTACAAATAGAGATAGGATCTTGGGAATAGGTACTAAGAGTAGGTTTATTCAAAGGGATCTTAGGAGCTTGGGCTGGGATGGGTCAAGGATGGATTAAGGCTAATAACTATAACTAACTATGTGTTCCTTTTCTTGCCTGTCCTTTTAAGTATTCCTTAACCTTGGTCCAGGCTTGGTAAGGTGGTACCATATTAGGTACTAGGCTTGTAGGTAATGTTAACTGGATTTCTGGGCCCTAACTGTAGCAATTCCTTCATGTAGTTGTGGAGTTTAATGATAAATTATATTGCCTTTGAATTGATGTTTTGCCAAGTTTCCCTTGGTATTGGTTGTCAACATATGCCTGTAGAAGATCACTTGGCTCTGTCAGTATGTGTGTGCATTCACTCTCACTCTCACACACCTCCATGTTCCCAAACTCTTTCTTTCTTTCATCTCTATCCCAGCCTGGCTACCTAACCCAAGCCAGTCCAGAGCAAATATGCCCTCCAAACTCTTCTTGGGCAATATATAAATACATACTCCAGTAAAAATAATTCCATATCATCCCTTTGAATTCTTTACCTCAACTCAAAGATACTCTTCACCCACCCCCACCTAGCCATCAGTATACATCCATTTGTGTGCATGGGTGTATACTGGTGGCTAATTGATTTGCCAGTAGGCCTATTGCTAAGGAGTTTGGCAACTTCCTTCCATGTATTGCGTTCCTTGCCATTGCCACCCCTAACCCTATACACATTGCTCTGCTGCACTTACACTGAACAACTAATCTATCTACCCTCCCAGAAGGTTTTCCAAAGAGTTGCAATTCTGGGTATTGATCCTAGTGCCTATTGCATGCAAAGCAATTGCTCTACCATTTGAGCTAAACCTGCAAAGCCTGAGTGCCTTCATGTTGCCAATTACAAATACAAATATTAATCAAGAAAAAGCTCAACACAAAGATTCAAGCCAGGGACCTTCTCTAAAGCTTGCACAACTTGCTCACTTGCACCCTCATTTGTGTTTTAAAATTGGCCTGGCCTGGCTTGGCTGACTGGCTGATTTGTTTTTCTTATCCCTCACTGTTGCCCAATTATTGCATTTAGTGCTTGAGTGACCTTGTCTTTTGTGACAGATACCTAGTATGCAAATATCCCCGCTACGTTTCTTAACAGGGTCTCATGTAGGCTGCTCTTCTTCCAGCATCTACTATGGCTGATTGCTATGCAGGAATGGAATGGTCTGGAGCTGGATCCACATTTATATACACCTCAGTATTATAGGAGATACTTGCTCTTTCTATTTGAATGGGGAATCCACACACTCTTGTTAGTTATTGCTTGGCTACGCACCTAGTATGCCATCAATTAGAAGACACTACTCACCTAAGTCTGTATAGCTGATTTGGCCAAGTGGTCTAAGGCAGGTGACTTAAGATCCCCTCCCTGAAACAGGGCGTAAGTTCAAACCTCACAGTCAGCATCTTTTGCTCTAATTAGCTTTGGCTCTCAAATGCTACCTAATGCTGTTACTATTATCCCATATATCTGTTCTTTTGGCTGATGCCACCCACTTATAGACACAGTGACCTCAATTGGGCCTCCAATCTAATCCCCAGCTGTCACTACCTAGCTCCCCTCAGCTTTGCCATTGACAACACTTGTTTGTGCACCATTTGCTGTCTTACCTCAATTTAATTGCCTTTTGGCACAATAAGGTACATGCTGCTTGCTTGGTTGCACCATGATCTGACCCCTGGTTAATGCTCTTTGTTTTGATTAAGGTTTGTGAAGAGATTTTACTGTTCGTGGAATCATCTGGGGATAGCATTTCCTTGTTGTCTCTGAGTTTGTTGCAGCTTTCTCTCTTCTGAACACAGGGTTGCCATTTGCCAAACCTGTGGTAAGGTCTGCTCCATTATTTCCAGGTGTTGTTTTATGGATATTTGCAACAAATCAATACTGTGCAGTTGCCAAGTGCTTGGTATTTTCATCTTGTAGCCATACAGGAGATAGGAAGATGTGTAGCCTGTTTCCTCATTTTGTGATGTCCACCAGATCAACCAGGCCATTAGAAGTTTCTTGTCCCAGTTTGTGTAATCTTAGCTTAGCTTCCCAATGGTTTGTTTCAACTTTTGGTTTAGACATTTTACCCTCCCATTTCCTTGTGGTTGGTACGCACTGCTATAGTGTGCGCATATGTTCAGATGTTCAAAAAGTGTTTTTAGGACTTTGTTTGTAATAGTGGATGCTTGGTTGCTGACAATGTGTGCTGGGCATCCATATATAGGGATGAACTCTGCTAATAGAAATCTGACTACAGCTTCTGTATTGCATTTTGCTCATGCTACTGCCATAGGCCATTGGGTAAGGAAGTCAATACTAATAGATATGTATCTATTTCCTTGCTATGTAGGAGGTATGGGGCCTATGAATTCTGGACTGATCACCTTGAATAGATACATAGCTTTGAGGTGCATTTGTTGGGGCATTGCATGTGGTAGTTGTTTTGCATAATTGTTGCATATCCTGCATGCCTTAACCACTTGTACTGTTGCATATAGCTGTGGGGCACTATACTATTGTTTTACTTGGTCCCAAGTTCCTTGGATACCTAAGTGTATAGTGTTGTAAATTTGCTCCACCTCCTTGTATCCTTGTCATTCAGGTAGTACTTCCCAAGATGGTTGTTGCTTCAAGAAAAATCTGTTTTCTTTATGTAAAATTTTTTGACTTAGTTCTAGTATACTTTGTTTTATCTCCCAGGTAGCTCCCTCCACTAATGTTTCCATTTGTAGAAATTTCAGCGCTGCAAAATAATATGAAAGGGCCAACCCCTGAATGCTCCTGATTTGCTTGATCTGTGGAATTTTTAGTGGAATTTTGGTGACTTCTACCAGTCATGACAAGGCATGTGCAGGGTTCCTTTTTCTTTTTTGGTGATGTATTGAGAACATATACTCCATAAGAATTATACTACATCTGGCAATGTATCATACCAGGTTTGGCATGTTGAATAAATTTAATAATGCTTGGTGGTCTGTATATAATCTAAAAGATTGCCCCACTAGGTAGTGTCAGAATTGTTTTATTGCCCAATAACCACTATGCCTTCCAGGTGTGAGCTAAAATAGATTCTTTCAGAGCCTTGTGTAGTACAACTGGCACATTGTAATAAACACTCTCTCCCATTTTGTTTGTTTGGCTGGGATAGGGTTGCACCTAACCTTTCTTTGGAAGCATCAGTTGTTAACCAAAATTCTTGGTCATAATCTGAGTATTGTAGTATAGGTGCTTTGGTAAATTGTTGTTTTAGTTCTTGGCAGGCATTGTTCTGCGCTTGTTCCCATAAAAATCTATTGCCTGTCTTAGTCAAGTTGGTTAGAGGGTAAGCAATTTTAGCACAATCCTTATTAAAGCTCTGGAAGTGGCCCACTGACTGTAGAAAGAAAACTACTTCTTTACTGTCCTGTGGAGGTTGCATATTTATGTACTTGTCCACCCTGGCTGGGCCCATTGTGGTGGTGTATAAGTCCAAGGGAGAGATATGTCCAACACTCCTCAAGTGTTTTGTGTGTGGGGTGCTCACCAGGTGCAATAACCACTGGCAAAAGCTTGCTAGGTATACTTGGGTTTTGTCTCTACTCTATAGTGAAGGGGAATTAAGCCCCAAGCTTGTCAAGGGAAAACTATTGAGCTTCAATCCCCAACTTAGTTGGTATCTTAACAAAAGTATGTGCTGGGTTCAGCATTCTTTGAGATAACAACTTACTAAAACTTACAAAGTCAAAGCAACTGCAAACTCCACCAGCAGGGACTTGATAAGAATGCAGCTGTGGTCAATAGTTACAAAGCCAGAAAAGTATCTTTGCCTGTACAAGAACAAACTTGGGAAAGAGTCAAACATAATAAAAGATACATACTCAGAGTATTCCTCACAAGTAGTGCCTCCAAGGCCAGTTGGCTGTCAGCACAGTCTTCTGGGAGTGTCATGTGGTCAAAGGTTGGAGTTCAGGTAGTAGCAGATAGCAGTGATCACACTAATCAACAAGTTGGTATATTGATAAAAGGGATGATGATTTATTGCTGAGGGATTGCCTCCCTTATATACTTTTCTCACTGGCAAAGTGACTACTAATCATGGTGCTCCAGAAGGTTCTGGTGGATCAAATAGAAATCTTAATGGCATCAGAATGAGCTAAGAATGCTCTAAGTAGGTGCCAGAAGGTTCTAAGAGGCGCAGCACACCCAACCAATCAGGAATTGATATTCTGAAACCTGTGTAGCATAATGATACCATAAACAGTATGGAAATGGTAGGGATAGTGACACAGTTTGGTCAGGTGTCATGGGTACTGGCACGGGTACCTGTCTAATGAAGAAGCACTTACGTCAAGTAACCTTACATAAAGTGAGGGATAACTTATGCAATAAGGTAAGCAGGGGTGATAGTCAGCCAGCTAATGAAATAATACTGATCAAGTAAGACAAATGTGATTAAACTGAAATAAGGGTAGTAGAGAAATAGGGAAGTAGAAAATATGGGAATGAGCACATCTGTCAGTGGGTGTGACTTTCACCCCACTACACTGTTTCCAATCCTTTATTGGATATCTTATGTCCAAGATATCAAAGTTTTTCTTCCATTTGAATGCATTTGGTTTGTTTGCGTTTCATGTTTGCATGTTGTAGGATCTTGAATACTTGTTGCAGATGGAATTGGTGTTCCTCCAGCCTTTTTGAGTAGATTATGATATTATCTATAGAGATGAGCACATAATTCCACAATTGCTCTCAAAAAAGGTGGTTCATTGCTTATTGAAATGTTGCTGAGGCATTTGTGGGACCAAAGGGCAAAATGTCAAACTCATATAGTCCCCATTTGGTGACAAAAGCTGTCTTTTCTTGACTGCTTGGTTCTATCATTATCTGCCAGTAGCCAGAGGCAGCATCCAGGGTAGTATAGTAAGTAGCTTGGGCTAGTGCATCTAACAGTGCTTCAGTTTTTGGTAGAGGATAGGCATCCTTTTGATTGCATTAATTTTGATAGTCTTTATAGACGCATTTTATATCATTGTTTCTCTATAAACATGACTAAGGAAGCTCAAGGGGATGTAGATAGGGTTACCACTTCTTGTTGTATCACCTCCTGTAGTTCTTGTTGAATTCAGTCATTTTCTTTTTTTGAGACTCTATAGTAAGATTGGGTTTGGGATTGAGAAGAGATTTTTGCTGAAAGGGAGCAATATGAGCCCAATCTGTAAACATGCCATTGGATTAATAATTGATATGGCAAGACTTATAATTCATTCTCAAGTATTATTCCATAGCTTTTGGGTGGAATCAATTGCTACAGCTGATCATCCTTAAATAAGAGTTGTGGCAGAGTACTTTGCATTGCAATATTCTGAGGAATATTGGAAGTGATGTGGAGAACTAGAGGATTTACATGTTATTCACTTGTAGATTTATTGATTAAAAGTATGGGATTTATACTTTTAATAAGGTAGAGCAAAAAAACATGTAGATTTTGTTAAGGAAGGTCCCAAGAATATGTGTGCAAAGTTTGGGGGCTTTTGGACAACTTTGAGAAAGATCATAATCTGGGTACCTGATAATTTGGTGAAAATATTTTAAGTAAATCCCAACAAGAAATTTGGTCAGGACAGAATGCTAATCAAAGAATAAGATCTATGTGACTAATTTAGCATGAATATTTTGGTGACAACTTAATAATTACAACACTTTGTACTTCTACTCCATTTGAGGCCTAGTATGGATACAGACCAAGTGCAGAGCACTCAATAATATTTGTTTGCACAGCAAATGTTAACAAAATGCCCAAATTTCTTGATGGGATTTACTTAGAATACTTTCACCAAATTATCAGGTATCCAGATTGTGATCTCTCTCAGAGTTATCCAAAGGCCCCCAAACTTTGCACACATATTCTTGGGACCTTCCTTAACAAACTCTACATGTTTATTTGTGCTACTTCATCAAAAGTATAAATAACATGCTTCTGATCAATAAATCTACAAGTAAATACAATGTAAATCTTCTAGTTCTCCACATAACTTCCAATACTCCTCAGAATATTGCACAAAGTCAGTCAAAATTTGAGCCAAAGAGTTATTCCCAAGTGCTTATAGTACCTGAAACTTCCCAAATGTGGTTTCTTTGCAACTAATAAAGAGCTATATAGCTATTGCCATGATAGGTCAATGCTGCTATATTGGCTTCCATAGCTGCTGTCCAGTTTTGACTTGAAGGGCCCGGAGAGTTTCCAGCACATCGTGGATAGACCAGACTGAAAAAGCAAACAATTTCTGAAGCCTCACTGACTCGAAGGATCCCGGATTGACTAGCAAACCAATCCGTCAATGAGTAATCTCCAATCTGGCTGTCAGTCAAGTGGAAACTCAAGATGCGGTATTGGCTCGGAGGGGCATGGGGAAACTGCCAAAATATGGACCGCAGCGT